ATTCTAATCAAAAGTATGAGACAAGTAAATAAGTACACTTAAACATTATTTTTTACATTTTACATTTCTGTTTAAAATTATGAAGAATTATGTATGAATTAATAAAAAATATTTTATAAATTATATAAGTATATAAATAATTATATACTATAAATTATAAAATATTATAATACATATTTATGAATAAATAATAAATATATATTATATAATAATTATATAAATAATAAAATAATTGTATAATTATTTGCATGGAATAGTCTTAGAAAACCTACATTTTTTTCCTTCAAATATAAATGTTACATTGCTTCCCACAGGTCTTCCAGATAGCTGCACATTTGGTGTACTGGGGTAAAGCTATCATTATCTATCCTCTCTGTGAGAACAACGTGTATATGCTGTCTCCCCACGCAAACATCTGCATGTAAGTATGTTCTTTAAAAAATAATTAAACCTGTAAATTGGCATGCTTTGTCTGTTGTACAGACTAAAATATTCTCACAATTTTTAACAAAAAAAACTGTAATTCCTTAAAAAATCTCAATGCAAACATTATTCATTATTTCGTGTCTCTCTCCCCCAGCTACTCTCCTCTGGCTGAGCAGTTTACCCTCCAATTTCCAGGTCATGACCTGCCCTCCATGTTAGCAAAGTTCTCACTTCCTGTATCTCTGTCTGAGTTCAGGAATCCACTGGATGCCCCTGTGCATGAGGTAAGAGTCTTAATAAGGCCATCTTTTCACTATGTATGACAAACATCAGATCGGAAGTCATTTATTTCCAATGGAAAGTAGTACAGGGGCATTAAGAAGTTGCGCATAGGAGCATGCAGAATTTAAGATCCAATCTGAGCGTAAATTTTTGCAGCTAAACCATATGTGACCAGATGTTATGCATTCTAATCAAAAGTATGAGACAAGTAAATAAGTACACTTAAACATTATTTTTTACATTTTACATTTCTGTTTAAAATTATGAAGAATTATGTATGAATTAATAAAAAATATTTTATAAATTATATAAGTATATAAATAATTATATACTATAAATTATAAAATATTATAATACATATTTATGAATAAATAATAATTATATAAATATATATTATATAATAATTATATAAATAATAAAATAATTGTATAATTATTTGCATGGAATAGTCTTAGAAAACCTACATTTTTTTCCTTCAAATATATATTGACCATCATTTGTTTTGTGTGGATATCTTCATACATTCACTGTTTTACCATGGTGAATAAACGGAGTAATGGATGCTTTGCAAACAGTTCGAAAGTTCTTTGCAACTGCCACTAGGCAGCGAAATGCAACAATGGTATGTGAATGTTAATTAAGAGTGACATAAGACTAGTGTTTGAGATGTTAGCAAATATTTGCTGAAACGTCAGACGTTTATTCATTTGGATTTGATTTAATCTCAGTAAGGGTCAGGGTTTGTGCGAAGAGCATTGTCAGTTAACCCCGGTTGTCGATGCTGTAACTACACCATCATGTGTGTGTATCTGAGCAGGCCCAGCTCATTCAGATGGTGGTCTGGATGCTCCAGCGCCGGCTGCTGTTTCAGCTCCACACGTATGTTTGTCTGCTGGTCCCACCCGTTGAGGAGGAGCCTGGTCTTCGGGAGGAGGAGCCACCCCTAGTCACACGCGTTACAGGCCGGAGTCTGAGCACACCCAGCGCCCTGAGTTTCGGCTCTCCCAGTATGTAACCCAGTCAGCTCCAACTTAGCACTTAAAAGATACTCTTATGATCAAATAAAGTCTCAGTAGTTTCTCTCATTTTCCCTCTGCAGCAAGTAGCGATGACATGACCCTCACGAGTCCCAGTATGGATAACTCAAGCGCTGAGCTCCAGACTGGAGGAGACTCTCCTCTCAATAAAAGAATGACAGAAACGCTTCTGGCCAGCCTGACCGAACATGAGCGGCAGGCCATCCTCCGTGTCCCAGCAGCACAGAACCCAGAGGACCTGCGCTTGTTTGCCAGGTGACGGAGTGTCTTTTATAGCTTGTTTTTCTAATCTCAAACCTAGTTTTGTACAGAACAGTGGGTAGGTTTACATGCACACATTTTTGTAAATCGGAATCAATTCAATCCAGTTTTTAGCAAATATTTAGTATATATTCAGTCTCAACCACTGACCAGTTTTTAAAGGGATAGTTCACCCAAAAATTAAAATTCTGTCATTAATTACTCACCCTCATATCGTTCCAAACCAACCTGTAAGACCTTCGTTCATCTTCAGAACACAAATTAAAGGGGTCATATGATGCTGCTAAAAAGAACATTATTTTGTGTATTTGGTGTAATGAAATGTGTTTATGTGGTTTAAAGTTCAAAAACCACATTATTTTCCACATACTGTACGTTATTGTTTCTCCTCTCTGCCTTTCTGAAACGTGTCGATTTTTAAAAAGCTCATCAGTCTGAAAAGCAAGGTGTGCTTGTGATTGGCCAGCTGTCCAGTGCGTTGTGATTGGCCGAATACCTCAAGCATGTGACGGAAATGTTACGCCCCTCACCATACTGTTGATGCCGTGTCCGGCCGGAGTGACGAGACAAAAACATTAAAACCCATTACAAACGAGGCATTTGTTGCATCCAGTGGGAACATAATTACGGATTATAATGACTTATACTGTCTTTTTACGCGTTGCATTGCATCGCGCCACGTAAACATAAAACCCTGTCTGCATTTGTGATCGGAGAAATTACAAACAAAAAGTGCTACTCTACACTGGCCAAAACTTGCATTTGAATCGTCAGTGGCAAATCCTTTAAATGAAAACGTGCTTACAGTCTGTGAGTCAGAACTGCCGGCATTGTAGTCTACTCTTCCAGGATCAGGAAACATAAAATGTGCTGCACACATCTGAATATTTGGGTTAAACTGTTCTGGAACAGTGTTGTAAATACAACTTAACCACTGATTTGTAGTCGTGTCCTCTTTTGGAAGACCAAACAAAGTAGTTTCGCTTTCACAACGAAACACACGGCGGCCTAGCATGAGCTGAGGCCGGGCTAGAGTGAGCAGAGGTGGGTGGGCTTGAGAACGGCACGGCCGGCGGATTCGGCGAAGGAGCGGCAGCCACATGTGACGACCCCGGACTGGACTCCGCATGTATTTCCTCAGCGACCAGCACGGATCAGCTCCAGGCATGACGAAGTGGATATCGTCCTCTTTTGGAAGACCAAACAAAAGTAGTTTCGCTTTCACAACGAAACACACAGCTCTTCAGGACATGGCGACAATACTACAGCGAGAATAAAAGTTACGCCTTCTTTCTTTGCGTGCACATTTGGGCGACGTTATGCAAATCTTCCCACATCGTGACGTAGATATGTGGGGGCGTGTTAGAACGAGCCGTTTTAGGTAGGTGTGGTTGACTCTTAACTTTTATAAAGAATATCTCTTTGGATTTGAGACTTTAGTCTTTGCAACTTTACAGATCTTCTTTATGCACCAAGAGCTTCTAACACTCCAAAGAGAAAGGAAAAATTGAAATTGCATCATATGACCCCTTTAAGATATTTCTGATGAATTTCGAGAGCTTTCTGACTCTGCATAGACTCTACACCAATGCAACTGAAACATTCAAGGCCCAGAAACGTAGTCCATGTGACATCAGTGGTTAAACCATAATTTTATGAAGCTATGAGAAAAGAAAAATAACGACTTTATTCATGCAGGGTCAGAAAGCTCTCGGATTTCATCAAAAATATCTTAATCTGTGTTCCAAAGATGAACGAAGGTCTTACGGGTTTGGAACGACATGAGGGTGAGTAATTGATTACAGAGTTTCCATTTTTGGGTGAACTATCCCTTTAAGACATGAGGCATACAGACAGAATAAAGATATATGAAAGAGACATGCCTAAATTAACATAGGCACGTTCAGATGTATAATGTATTAAATTATACATGTAACAGCTCTGTGCATGTGCACAAAGTATTTTTGAGTCCGATTGAGAAAATAGTCAGATTCAAGTGTTTACATGCTTAATTTTTTCAATAATCCTATTCAAAATTTAATTCGGATTGAGCTCAGTCAGATCGATCTGGTTTTTCAATCTGATTATAAACAGATTATTTGGGTGCGTGTAAATTAGCATCTTGTTGTCTTTCTTTAGGCTGCTGCATTATTTCAGAGGCCATCATCACTTGGAAGAGATCATGTACAATGAGAACATGCGTCGCTCGCAGCTGAAAACTTTATTCGACAAGTTTCGCAGTGTCTTAGTGATAACCAACCACGAGGACCCCATCATCTCTCTGTTCCAGTCTCCACCAGACTAAATGGATCATTCAATTTACTGTGAGTCTGACGACGGTGTGACGTGTTTGCTTATCATCAGTGGCTTAAATAAGCAAAATGCTTTCAACCTGCTGCGTTTCATAAGTGGATTATGAAGTGAGACTCACATAATCTATTGTATATAGCTGTACTGACCAAAGATTTTTATGTTGTCATGATTTTACCACATTTGCGGTTTATTTTAATAAAAGGTTCAGGGGTCGTGATATGTGATTCATCCTTGGGCAGGCATAAAATGGATCGCTTAAGTATTCCACCCAAGCATCTCCTATTTGGAGATCGCTCCCTGATGTCATAAATCATCTCCTCAAGCAAACAAGACCCAAAACACATGCCATGATGGTGATTCCAGACCATAAGGCCGCAATGCCATTGAGACTGAGTGTGTAGAAACAGAGAAAGAGAAAAGGGGGTTGTAATTACCTTGGAGTCCAAATGGGTTTCCAAACATCTGTAAAATCAATAAAGCACCAGGAATAACAAGAGTATGCAATAAAGAAACATGCTGTTACAAGACTCAAACTCAAAAGGTTAGTTGACTCAAAAATTACAATTCTCATTATTTACTTACTCTTATGTCATGCCACCCCCCTGTGTGACTTTCTTCAGGTAATTTTGCTGCTCTTTTTTTTCTCAATACAGTGAATATGATTAGTCACCAGGGGTTTTCCAGCTCCAAAATGAGCACAGTAGCAGATTTGTGTGTTATATTCTTCTCAATTGGAAAGCTTTGTGAGGAAAGATGAGAAGATTATTGGTGAATAATGACTTAAACTTCCCATTTTTTGTTGCGTTAGAAGACTTGCAGAGAATATAGAGAACAAGTCATGATACTTTTAGAGTGCTTTTCAGCATTTTTTTTAACCTTGACAGTCCCTAGTCAGCATTCACTTGAATTATATGGATAAGAGCAGCTTGGACATTCTGCTAAACATCTCCTTTGGTGTTCAAAAAAACCACACGGATTTGGAGCGACATGATAGTGAGTAAATTATTCATTTTTGAGCAAACAAACCTTAAAAAGAGTGATTTCATGACTAAACATTTCATCAGACTGTCATTTCCATCTCAGTGTTATGAAGATCAGTGGAGGATTGCATCTGGCACTCTGCATCTCTGTTTAGCACGCTCACACACGGGTGTCCTCTCAAGTAGAAGCAAAGCGGTTTGGTTGCCCATTCGCCATGAGACTCGACTCCTATGCGGGGCGCTGACACCACCTCTCCAGCGCAAACAGTCTCTCGTTCTGGGTCCCTCTCAAGCGACACCTCAGTATCAGTGGCCAGATCCCTGCGGTCGAAGCAGCGCTGTATATCTAGTGCTTGGCACAGCTTGGACAGGCCATTGCAGAGCTCTTTTTCCTTAAGGATTTTGGCTCCCGCCTTGCGTTTGGCTACTCGCAGGCCCCTCATGACGTCCTGACCACTCAGAGGCTCCAGCAAGCGCAAAAGCACCGCCGCCCCCTCCCCTGCACCCACATATAGTAGAGTAGTTAGTGAGGCTCCATGCCGTCTCCTTCCTGTTGGCTTGTGTCTGTGTGCGTTCGCTATGTAATGTGCCAAATTGACCTATAATGAGAAACAGTTGGAGAGAAGCAAAGGAGCAGCAAAACAAAACACTTGTTTCTTGCATAACTAGCGGTGAGGGATCTGTGGTTACAGCCTTCCGGCTCCATCTCCTGTGAAGCGCTATTCCTAATATGTGCGTGTGGTCAATTACAGCGGTTTTTGGAGCCTCACCTTGGCTGGAGATGTTCATGCAGAGGTAGATGCAGTAGACGGGATAGACGTAGATGATCCCAGGCTTCATGAACATGGCAGTGTTTCTCTCCGTGTGTTTTCCTCCTGCTGAGTGGGACGCTTTGTCCTCCCCACCCAAATATGCTTCGGTTTCCACAACCCTTCCTCTGAGCTCAGTGCCATCAGTTAGTTTCCTCACCAACACCTAATACATACAGAAACCAGATGTCACTCTTTCCAGAACTCCCCACACCCTGAGGCTGTACAGGCATCTTACATCCAGCAGGTGGTGCAAATGTGTCGATAAATTATATTGACTGAGAATCATTAGACAACAAATGTTAGTAGCTAGTGGTGCTTGCTAATGATATCTCAAATTCTGTGGTAAAGGAGTAAAGATGTGCTACTGTTTTTCTAGGTTATTGGATTTATGAATGTTTTTGGCAGTTGATAAATCAGGCAAAAAATTACATGCACTACTGGTCAAATGTTTGGGGTTGGTTAGTTGGTAAGATTTATTTGATCATAAAAACAGTAAAATTACGATATATTATTGCAATTAAAAATAACTGTTTTCTGTTTTACTAAATTGTAAAATGCAATGTATTTTTGTGGGTGCAAGGCTGAATTTCCAGCATCATTACTCCAGTCTTCAGTGTCACATGATCCTTCAGAAATCATTCTAATATGCTGATTTACTGTGCAAAAAACATTTCTTATTATTAATGTTGAAAACAGTTGTGCTGCTTTGTATTTTTGTGAAAAACATGATACATTTTTCAGGATTCTTTGATGAATAGAAAGTTTAAAAGAAGAGCATTTATTTCGAATATAAATATTTTGTAACATTATAAATGTTTTTACTGTCACCATTAATTTATTTTCAAAAGAACTCTTACTGACACTGTAATTTTGCATCATCTTTTATTATAATTTTAGCACAAATATTTTAACAACTCTTTCCCTGTTCACTTTCAATAATATTTGCAAAACTTCAACTTGCAAAAAACATTTCTTATTATTAATGTTGAAAACAGTTGTGCTGCTTAGTATTTTTGTGAAAAACATGATACATTTTTCAGGATTCTTTGATGAATAGAAAGTTTACAAGAAGAGCATTTATTTCGAATATAAATATTTTGTAACATTATAAATGTTTTTACTGTCACCATTAATTTATTTTCAAAAGAACTCTTACTGACACTGTAATTTTGCATCATCTTTTATTATAATTTTAGCACAAATATTTTAACAACTCTTTCCCTGTTCACTTTCAATAATATTTGCAAAACTTCAACTAAAACAAATTTATGTGGTAAACCAACTTGGAGAAAAAAACATAAAAGAGGAAATAGCATCATGTGACGGTGTGGCTCTTAAAATATCAATAATTACTTTACCTGACAAGGCAAATTCCAGTTGTAAAATATCATGTTTTGCAAACTATTTATTAATGAAATAAAAATGTTTATATACAGTGGGTACGGAAAGTATTCAGACCCCCTTAAATAGAGTATATATGCATGTGTGTGTGTGTGTGTATATATTATATATGTATGTGTTTGTTTGAAATGTTCAAGGTGAAAGAAAAATATATTACATGACATTTTAGAGTCATTAAATGCAATCTTCAAAACAATATTAAATCAACATTAAGGCAAAGTGTATATTAATAAGAACTTGACGGGTGTTTTTTTACTAGATAACCAACCACCCTAGAAACCACTAACACAATGTGCTAAAATACCTCAGAACACATGAGCATCTTTGCAACAGCTTTAGCACAGACAAGCACCACTTATTTCAAATGTAAAAATCTAGATTACCACACAACATTATAACGCTCTTATTTTATTTATGGCTCAAATAAAGAAGATAAAGCTGCTGTATATCTATAAAGTAATTACTGATGATGTCCCATTAAAAGAACGGAATGCAAATGGGTCCCATCCTGGCTCTTTGTTTATTCAAAGTTGGTTCATCTGGTCCACTTATCCGTTAAACGGCTGCTTAAAAGGCGCTAAAAGATGCTATAGCCAGTCATGCAGGGAGCTTGAGCGAACACAAGGCCGCTGTGAACCGTGTTTGTGTAATGAGCTCAACAGAGTGTGAAAGCCACAAGTGTCACCTTCTCCAGGCTGGCTGCAGACTGTCACGCTGGACGAGTGCTTGGTCACACCAAACAACCTATTATGTGTCAGACCGGATGCCCTTCAAACATGATAATGGCTTTTCATGCTTCTCATTACACCCTTTCTATTTACACACTGGCAAACTGAAAACAAACGAGGGCATATTTTGTGCTGGTTAACTGAACCTGAAATGGAAACGCTGCACTGTCATGTAACAGTGTGGCTAATTTTCTGGCAACACCAACTCGTCACATAACTTGGCGTCACTTTTTGACACTTAAGGTACCATTTTAGCATCATTTTTCGTCATGCAGGTCCTCCGTTGTTTTCAGTTGTTTGTCTTAATTTAATGGTTTACATGCATTTGTAAAAAATAGAAATAATGTTATATAAATTTATACTTTCATTGGAGCTCCTAACCCCACCCCTTCCCTAAACCTACCCACTTCTGAACAATAGAAAACACACAACAGGCAAATATACAGGTACATCTAAAAAAAAAAAAATTTTATATCATGAAAAAGGTCAATATTTTTTGTCACTCATTTCAGA